TGCAACCGTAAGTGCAAGAGGGTGAGTTTGGGTGCAAGCATTACTTAACCTCTTCCATACTTTAGAACTGAATTTGATCGAAAACAAAGAAAACGGATGATTGACCGGTGAGCATAGCTGATTAGGAATGAGTAGCGAGTGGGTATGGACACAGCCCATGGGTAGCGGGTGGGTACGGGCACGGCTCCACGGGTAGCGGGTGGGTATGGGCGCAGCCCCACGGGTAGCGAGTGGGTACGGGCACAGCCCCACGGGTAGCGGGTGGGTACGGGCACAGCCCCACGGGTAGCGGATGGGTATGGGCACAGCCCCACGGGTAGCGGGTGGGTACGGGCACAGCCCCACGGATAGCGGATGGGTATGGACACAGCCCCACGGATAGCGGGTGGGTACGGGCACAGCCCCATGGGTAGCGGGTGGGTACGGGCACGGCCCCACCGGTAGCGGGTGGGTACGGGCACGGCCCCACGGGTAGCGGGTGGGTACGGGCACAGCCCCACGGGTAGCGGGTGGGTACGGGCACAGCCCCACGGGTAGCGGATGGGTATGGGCACAGCCCCACGGGTAGCGGGTGGGTACGGGCACGGCCCCACGGGTAGCGGGTGGGTATGGGCACAGCCCCACGGGTAGCGGGTGGGTACGGGCACAGCCCCACGGGTAGCGGATGGGTATGGGCACAGCCCCACGGGTAGCGGATGGGTATGGGCACAGCCCCACGGATGGCGGGTGGGTACGGGCACAGCCCCACGGGTAGAGGTTGATCAGGTAGGGTACCGGTAAAGCCCCCAAGTGACAGTCGTTTTAATGCAAGGCCTTGTGCGATCTGTATATATGCATTTAGATCACCTGAAAGGTATCTACCATTCCATGTACTATCGTGTTCCTTTCGGGGTGCCGCGCATCCATTAGACTCAGCCGCATTTCATCGATCAACTAACGAGGGGTCGTCTGATGCAATACTTTCTTCTCCTTAAAAAAACTTTATTCTTCCCTGCAGTCCGCTGAGCGCGATGTCAGGCGGTTCGCGCACTACAACCCTTGAAAACCCTTGAAGCACCTTTTCCTCCCGCAGTGGATGCTCGCTGCCTTTCGCGTGCCTATCCTCACCCAACGGTAAATACACGTATATATCCTATGCATTCATCGCGTCTAATTTAGGAAAGACGAGCAAAACATATTTTGAACTACACTAAAAAGAGAAAGACAATAGAGTTAAAAAAGCATTGTGAGGTATGTAACAAACCGCTCGTTTTACAACAAATGGAATGGTAACTCGCACCTTTGTGCGCAGTAGATGGGATGTCTCCCGTCCCAGAGCGCATACAACACTGTCAAGCCCGGTACAGAGATACTGACCTGGCGGTAGCGCTACAGTAACCAAGCAACAGCTCGGCCGGCCTGCTGTCCGCTGCCACAGCTCGGCCGGCCTGCCGTCCGCTGCCACAGCTCGGCCGGCCTGCTGTCCGCTGCCACAGCTCGGCCGGTCTGCCGTCCGCTGTCACAGCTCGGCCGGCCTGCCGTCCGCTGTCACAGCTCGGCCGGTCTGCCGTCCGCTGTCACAGCTCGGCCGGCCTGCTGTCCGCTGCCACAGCTCGGCCGGTCTGCCGTCCGCTGTCACAGCTCGGCCGGTCTGCCGTCCGTTGTCACAGCTCGGCCGGCCTGCCGTCCGCTGTCACAGCTCGGCCGGTCTGCCGTCCGCTGCCACAGCTCGGCCGGCCTGCCGTCCGCTGCCACAGCTCGGCCGGCCTGCCGTCCGCTGCCACAGCTTGGCCGGCCTGCCGTCCGCTGTCACAGCTCGGCCGGCCTGCCGTCCGCTGTCACAGCTCGGTCAGCCTGCTGTCCGCTTCCACGCCAAAGCTTGACCGGCCTGCCGTCCGCTGTTACAGCTCGGTCAGCCTGCTGTCCGCTTCCACGCCACAGCTTGGCCGGCCTGCTGTCCGCTGTTACAGCTCGGCCGGCCTGCTGTCCGCTTCCACGCCACAGCTTGGCCGGCCTGCCGTCCGCTGTCGCTGATCTGGCCGGTCGCGGCTGATTGGCTCGAGTTTCGCGGCAACCCGCTGATAGGGATCTGTCGGCTTACACGTATACCGTCCCGGCCACGCATGGTATGCCATCGAGGAGGGGAGAGGGGTGGAGTGGCCTGATCGGTCTGAGGCTGGACGCTCTGTCTGGCCGGCGGTCTGTGACTGGGGGCTCTGTCAGACCGGCGATCTGTGGCTGGATGCTCTGTCAAGCCAGCGGTCTGTGACTACACGCTCTGGTAGGCCGGTGGCCTGTGGCCGTCGTGCCGGCGGTCTGTGACTGGACGCTCTGTCAGACCGGCGGTCTGTGGCTGGATGCTCTGTCAAGCCAGCGGTCTGTGGCTTCACTCATTGTTAGGCCGGTGGTCTGTGGCTGGACGCTCCGTCAAGCCAGCGGTCTGTGACTGGACGCTCCGTCAAGCCGGCGGTCTGTGACTGGACGCTCTGTCAGACCGGCGGTCTGTGGCTGGACGCTTCGTCAAGCCGGCGGTCTGTGACTGGACGCTCCGTCAAGCCGGCGGTCTGTGACTGGACGCTCTGTCAGACCGGCGGTCTGTGGCTGGACGCTCCGTCAAGCCGGCGGTCTGTGGCTGGACGCTCCGTCAAGCCGGCGGTCTGTGACTGAACGCTCCGTCAAGCCGGCGGTCTGTGACTGGAACGCTCCTTCAGGCCGGCGGTCTGTGACTGGACGCTCCGTCAAGCCGGCGGTCTGTGACTGGACGCTATGTCAGACCGGCGGTCTGTGGCTGGGCGCTCCTTCAGGCCCGGCGGGCTGTGGCGAGCGCTCTGTCAGGCCAGCGGGCTGTGGCGAGCGCCCAGTCGGGATGACTGCTTGCGGCGGCCATGCTGGGTGCAATTATCAGACTGCGCAGCAGTTCGACTATTATATAAATTCTGATCTGTATACTTGTAGCACGCCACACATCTACCCACCCCACACAGCCTGATAGCGCTCGATCGGGTCAGCTGCAGGTCTGCCTCACATTCACATGTTCCACCTTTGTCCTGAACACTGAATGTCTCCACCGCTGTTCGCCGTACAAGCGGGCGTTGCCACGAGTCCTAGAGTCTCGGTGCTCCACGTCGTTGTCCGTTTATGTAGTTTCTACGCACCGTCATCAACAATATGCTGACTGCAGAGAGAGGAAATTGTGGTTAGTCGCTCTGACAATGAAGTAAGCGCGTGTCATCGGCGATATCGCAATCTGCAGAATTGTGAGGGGTCTATTGGTCGTGTAGATCTTTCTTAGTCATACTTGCATATTAAGATGCTAGTACTAGTTAATTTCTCTTGGCCGTGATCACACAGTTTGTGTTGATCATGCGCCGTCCAAAAAATTTCGGGTTCATAGTTTAAGTTGCAAATATTGAAAGTTGTAAGACATGGGTTTAGTTTACGTAGACAAAGTAATACTCTATCGCACCTTTCCAGGTTACGCATGTGTTGCCCAAGTTTCTCTTTAACCGGCGTCAGTCATTTGTAAATCGTTAACTACACTTTATGAAACCATTGATGATCGCCGCTCACGACGATATGCCGATGACGCATATGGTCACACGGAAGCAGCGTCGATTTTGGCACTAATTAGCTAGGAGGACTTCAATCTCCACTGCGTTTCACTCTACAACTAGTCGCGACTGAGTTTTGCTTGATGTAAGAATAATCATTTCACGCAGTTGGAAACATTTCAATTAACTTCCAGTCGCGATCGGGATCTGAGGACTTAGACTAAGTTTAAGTAAAACACCATGACTTTGGGCGGATGAGCTTTCTCTTGTCAGTGGAAAGAGTCACAGAGCGAGAGAGAATGTGCTTACAATTTCTCGTCACCAGGCAGGCCGACCATTTTATTTGTTTGTCCCGAAGCGTGGGCTGACGCCTATGGCCATCACCATAAGGCAGCCCGCCCACTCACATCTGCGGGGCTCACATCTGCGGGGCTGAAGCGTGGGCTGATGCCTATGGCCATCACCAAGGCAGCCCGCCCGCTCACATCTGCGGCCAAAGTATCAAACATGGCCAGCCGGTGACATCACAAAGTCGGTTCAGTTATATGCGGGTCGTCAGAACCTTGGGAGCATCACCACGGCTGCAGAGGGCATCCCCTGAACGTAAACACAGCTGAAGATCTCGTCGACTGTGATATTGTCGGAACAAAGCGTAGATGTGACAAGCCGACCGTCGACGGACGAAAGGTAATTTTGAGCACAGTGGCACGACGAAATAAACTTCTGATAACTGCGATAACTTTAGTGAAAGATAAAGGCCAAAGAGAAGCAGCTGGAGATCGTCGCGGGGGAGAGGCAGCCCGAATATCTTACGAAACAATGGGCTACTGAGGCGCTCGTGGTGCGCGGTACCACGAGCGACTCGGTAGCCCGTTTTTCAGAAGCGACTCGATAGCGACTCGGTAGCCCGTTGTTTCAGTGGCGACTCGATAGCGACTCTTGTGCGCATGACCCGTTGTTTGTTGTTTGCCCGTTGTTTTAGTAGTGATTTGGTAGCGACCCGGCAGCCCGTTGTTTTAATAGCGACTCGGTAGCCCGTTGTTTCAGTAACGACTCGGTGGCGACTCTTGTGCGCATGACTCGTTGCTTGTTGTTTGCCCGTTGTTTCAGAAGCGACTCGGTAGCCTGCTGTTTCAGTAACGACTCGGTAGCGACTCTTGTGCGCATGACCCATTGTTTGTTGTTTACCCGTTATTTCAGTAGCGACTCGGTAGCGACTCGGTACCCCGTTGTTTCAGTGGCTACTCGATAGCGAGTCGGTAGCCCGTTGTTTCAGTAGCGACCCGGTAGCGACTCTTGTGCGCATGACCCGTTGTTTGCTGTTTACCCGTTATTTCAGTAGCGACTCGGTGGCGACTCGGTACCC